GAACTTTACCAAGCTCCAGCCATTTCTGGTTCCCTTGATTTCATCATATTGATGGAATGGCACTTGTGCTGATTCCTCGCCAGCGGCCAAGTGTGCTTTGTTTTCTCAAGGGAAGAGTCAGCCCCAGATATGCGTTTACAATAGAATGTTTTGTCCTGTTTCCATCTGGAAAAGTGCCACTGATATATTAACCGTCATTGAAATGCGGGACAGTGAGCCGATAGAGGCTTCAACACGGAATCACTCTCGTCAGAATCTCATGCTTTAACGAGTGAGGACTGACTTTTACATATTCTCAGGTATAATCCATTAAGCAATTGGTCTTTATATAATATTTCTGTTTCTCAAAATTTGGAACAAAGCTGGATCTAAGGTGTTTTTCTCACTTCTCTTCTGAAATTATTTCCCATCGTATCGTTGTCGAAGATGATGATGAATAAGGAAGAAACGTGAGCTCATCATTTTTAGAAATTTTCGTTTCATGTTGAACGGGAAAGCAGGTTAGCAAGTTGCATGAATTTTGATGAGAATAAGGAAAGAGCGAAATTTTGTAACGGCTGCAGTACACCATCCGCAAGTTGCTTGAATTGACGGAAGTCTCCAATCAATTGCCGCCTTCATCATTTCCATAATATTATACACCAAACTTTTCCTGGTGTTATGAGCAACCGAAAAGTATGATAATTGGAACACTCCCGCTCCTCGATGTTTAATTAGCTTTGGAGGAGTTCAATTAACCACATATAAGGTAGAAAGCGAAACGTTTATAATCTGACATTAATTTAAGCAAGGGCTGTTTTGAATTCTGTGCCATTTTTTCAAGTTTCTTTCATGTTTGCTTGAGAGTGGGGAATTCATATTCTTGATGGACGTACTTCCCACATGCTATGGTCTAACCTATTACCTTTAGTTAATGAAGCGGTGAGTTCGCACAATCATGCCTCGAATAGACGCCAATCGAGAAACGATCGCCCAAAGTTACATAAGAAATTATGCATCACAGAAGAGCGAGCAGGTGATGGCACATTTTTTGAGTTTGCGGCTGATGCTGCCACCGGTCTTACGTATTTTCACCTGCACAAACAAAAGTCCATTCCGTAGGTTATATAAACAATGCAGCTTGTGCAGTGTACAACCTCTCGGCCGTACAGTTGCAGTTTCAAGTGACGAAAGACCGCAGACAGATATCATGTTGCCTTTGTGGTTGCTGTTTGTACCGTCGGCGCTTGCTTCAGGTAGAAAACTGTCAATCACAAGTAGTAAGAACATGGAAGACTACATTTTCTTTCAGCCACCTTGTACCGATCGTATGAAATGGACACAGACGATGTTAAAAACATTGTAAAATTGGCCAACGGTTTTAGATCAAAGGTAGCTGTTGGCAAAATGGCACCTAAGCTGCCGAAAGCATCACAGATGCAGGCTTTGGTAAGATAACAGTTCCTCAGTTTTTGTACTCAGCTGCGTATTACTCCAGTTTCGCCCATAATTGCACATCCTTATACGTAAAATGAAAAATATTCAAAGACAAAATAATGTCGCGTCCAACACCTCTCATGTAGCGGTTGAAAATGAAATTTCGAAAATTCTAAGATCAGTAAATCTTTCGCTATAAGCAAAATACTGCCGCGTACAACACCTGTCATATGGCGGTTGAAAATGAAATTTCAAAGATTCCAAGATCAATAACTTTCACCATAAGACAGGGGATAAACTTTCCTCGAAAGAGTACTTCCTATGCTAATGAAGACTTGACTCAGTTAAATACGCCAGCATTGAATGTGAGCTTTGAAAGTTTCAGAAATCAACCTGAACCTGAATTAAATCATGTGTTGTATCTTCACAGTTGCAGGTCTGGATATAGGTTTATTGTGGTGGCCGAGCCGGCTAAAGCAAACTCTCACAAGGCGAGACAATACAACATAACACACACGTAACAAACGATGGATTTATATACTCGACGATCGGCGCGTAGTAAATGGCGCTCTCACGTATGCTAAAGCATAGAGCGCATGATTTGTCCTGATTACGTGCCGATATGTAGTCGATTAGATCAGAACATGCAAATAAAGTAGTCGGTCGCATCAGTGCACGACTGACTGATGGCGATGACTCATGATCGTCCGTAACACCTCTCCCACTGAAGATTGGAAACGATATCTATCAAATGAGA